CACCTTCAGAAAATAAACCCAAGCAGCTGGGTCCCTTGGAGTTAATAAATGCAATTTATGAGATGCAGTTTGAAGGGATTTTTGGAAAAGTCTGTTAGAATTTTTACTACCCGTCCACTTTGAGTTGCAGAAGGAGAGAGAACATTCAGTTGTCTTAAGTCAAATCTATTTCAGTTTGAACCACTTGTCTCCTCTGTCCATGAACTTGAAAGACAGAAGGACTTTCAAGACCTCATAAAAATAAAGTACTAATTTCTAACACTTTTGGCAAAGTTGGAAAGGACTAGTGAAACTGGTCAGTGTTTCTTTTTGCACCTGTTACATCTATCTCTGGGAGGGTTTTTGATGTGTCTGGATATCTTAAACACTATGGAGTATGCACTTATAGTATGCAGGCTGTGAGCTTATATATTGTAAGTCCATATAAAAATTTATAAGTTACATATTTGTCTCATTTCATATTATTATGGGGAGTCATATGTTTGCACTTTAGTGGTAGTATTCTTTAAGCCATGTGTTTTATGTATTTAACCCAAAGTCAAACATTTTAATATATTGCAGCATACCACTCCTAAATCTCTGAACTGGTGGCCATTTTCTTTAAAGAGCCCTTCCTCAAACTTCACAATGACAGGGTCCTATTATGTGCTAGACCTTCATTTCTTCCAAAGACATGAGGACAGTGTTCTGCCCTGCTCCTAAGCATCCAAATGAATTCTCTCTACATTGCCTGGATGTGGCCAGAGTCATCAGAGTATACATAAAAGCAACTGCCTCTAATAGGCAAACCGATTCACTTTTTTTTTTTTTTTTCATCTGGACCAAGCAGAGGATAACCTGATTTACAATCAGCTATTGAATAGTTTATAAGAAATTTGATTATTAGAGCTTAAGCTCAAAAGCAAAAACCTCCTCATGCCCTTTTTATGCATCCACTCCACCAGATCTGTTGGAGTATCCTGGGATTTTAAGCACCAAGCCTCTGGCATTTTTTTTTACCTTGATGATTTTTTTTATTTTTTTAACACCACATGTGTTGAGAGTGACCAGGAGAGGGGGGAGTGTTCTCAGGTAGAATGTAGTTTAACTGAACAATATGGTTAATTTTCTCCTCAAACCTGCCCTCACACAGATACTGTCTATTCAGTATGACAAGGTCTCTATGCTAATGGACTTTAAGTCAGAGCAATGACACTTCTAACTTATTCTGGTTCCTTTCTTGAGCTGTATAGCCTCTAAAGATGGCCTTTCAATTTCAATGGAAATTTGCTGATGTATCCAACTATCCCCTGCCCAGTGGCCTTAAATCTACACACTGCTTTCTATGATACGCAAATTAATATCAGCAATTTATCATCAAACGACTTTGTTGCTCCCATTATCACTCTCTTCCAGAAAGATGCCAATCCCAAGCAGTGACCTTCTGCCACAGTTGACTTTTGATTCCAAAGCTCCTGCTAAGTCATAATTCATTATTCTGGCCACTTGCAGTCTGTCTGTGATCTCTATCCAGAAATCTGCTATTACTACTTGTGAAGAATTAAAGGTCGCCATTGGGCTTATGACTCCAAGCTCTCTGGACATCTTGGTATCAAAAGAACTTTCATGTTTCTTTAAAAATCATACTGGGGGACAAATTCCTGAAATGTTGTAATGGACTACATAAAAGATTGTGCAATTTTTGTTCCCAAACCAAATGTCCTATCTGTGGGCCTGCAGGTCCTCTTCTATTGCTACCCATTTTCAGAAAACCAAGATTCCACCTCTCTATAGACTTTTTCTGACCTTCTGTGTAAAAGAAATGAAAAATATCACCACTACCTCTTCTTATTTATGACAGATTCACATTGGTTTTGCCCCCATTTACTATAACTGTGCGATGCGAGGAAGGAAGTCTACCAAAGGGAGAATGGTCCCATAGTTCCCAAATAGAGCGAAAGTGACCTGAGTGTTCACCTACTAGAGCTGTAAGATATTCCATTTCCCTGATTTCAGAGATCGCTCTTAAGAGATTTAGCGTGGGAACATCAACGGATTTCCAGAGTCGTGGTATCACCCATCTAGTGGCTATCAGAATATGTATTCTCAACCTTTTAGATTGCCTAGAGATGCCCCAAAAGATAGTGTAGTGGATCTAGTGGTAGGGTAACACTGAGTACTTGCTCCAAGACCATTCTAACCATAGCCTAATAACCCGCAATCTGTGGAAAAAAACAAAAAATATGTGCCAAGGTACCTGTACCTCCATCACTTGTCAGACAGATTCAGATTGATCACATGAAGTACTACAGGGGACATGTACCAATGCACCAATATTTTATATAAGTTTTCTTTATACACAATGCAACAAGAGGTCTTGGCAACAGACACCCAAATCACCTGCCAACATTTCAAAGAGATTGAGCATTGGATTTCATCCTCCCATATCCATGTAAGGGTGAGGATTATCAATAAGCTAACCTTTTTATTGAGAAGTAGTTTATATATAAAGAGGTGATTAAGATGTTGTTGGGAGGGATCTTTTAATAGCTATTCTCTCAATCTGTGAGGTGATCTAGCATGTAAAGAGGCATTCAAGGAATGTAAGAAATAACTGAACTGCAAACAGGTGTATCTGGCTGATACAGCCATTGTGGATTTCCACGCCCTCAATATCCTCAAATGACCTCCTGCCTGAGATCGGATTGATTAGATGACTTAGTTGAAATATCCCATTAATTGCCCAGGAGCTCATCTGTGGGGTAGGACAGACTATCTGGGAGCTCCGGATTATATAAAACGTTTAACAATGGAGAGCACATGGACAATAACTGCTGAGATTTCACACAAGTTGACAAAACTTTGAGGATAAATTTCATAGATTCGAGCAAAGGGGGGGAGGAGACAGAGGTGATGTATAATGAAAAGGATGTAGCAATTAACATGTGTGGATTGGATAAATATAGCCTAATTCAATCGCTGCCCATCTATTCTGAGGTTTTTGGGTGAACCATGATAGCGTTTGTCTCAGATGAGTGGCTAAATAGTAATTGGTGATATCTGGAACCCCCTAGGCCTCCACTATTTTTAGATGACAAAAGAACTCTTTTTTGCTATTCTGGGCTTTCTGGCATGCCAAATAAATCTAAGAAATGCTTGTTGTAGAGTCTGCAATTGAGCATGCGAGATTGCGATTGGTAGAGTCTCTAAAAGGTAAAGTAGCTTTGGCAAAGTTGACATCTTTACCAAATTTACTCTACCCAGGTAAGATATCTTATAAGCATCCCACTGATTTAGGAGAGCATAGATTTCACGAAACAGTGGGGGGTAGTTGGCTTCAAACAAGTTGGGGTTATAGGAGTACCAAGGTATTTAATATATGACATGCACCAATGGTATAAATAATTTTGTTGGAGCAGTAAGAGATCTTGGGGTGGACATTAAGGCGCATAGCTTCCATCTTTGAAGTGTTTATTTCATAGCCAGATAAATCACTAAAGTTTGTAAAAGTTTCTGAAATGCAGGTAATGACAAGTGAGGCTTGGTTATAGTCAATAGAACATCATCTGCAAAAAGGGAGAGTTTGTATTTCCTCCAACAGTCACTCCTGCTAGGTCAGGGTGTGCTCTGATTGCTACTGCTAATGGTTCAAGACATAATATTAATGGGAACGGGGACAGAGGGCATCCATGTCTAGTTCCGTTGAGCATGGGAAAGTATCGGATGTGGCATAGGGAAGCTTAACAAAATGGCCCTTGTATTCCCACGTCACAGTAATTTGAACATATAAGGCCATCCCAACTGGTCAAATGCCTTCTGAGCATCTAAACTTAGCAATAGTGCTGGTGTTCGTGAGCCACGGAGTACGTCAACTAAGTTGATTGTACACCTAGTGTTGTTCCCTGCCTGTCTCACCAAGATAAATCCCACCTAATCATTATGGATAATTTTGGGAAGCAAAGGAACCAAACGATTTGCTAAGAGTTTCATAAAATTTTATATAATCCATGTTTAATAATGCTATGGTCCTGTAGTTGGCTAGGTCGTTAGGTTTTTGCCTGGTCTGGGAATGACTGTGATATGAGAATGTTGAAATTGCAAATGAGGTTTCTCTCCCACTCAGCAGAGAGGAGTAAAACACCAATAGGGCAGGGTCTATATCCATGATAAATTGCTAATATGTGTAGGAAAACCCGTTTGGTCCTGGCGCTTTGTGCAATGGTAGCTCCTTATCAACTGCACACAGTTCCTCCATAGTATGGGTGCATTCAGAGTTTGTCTATCTTCCCTTTTTTTTTTAATTTAGGGGAGATGAAGAGCTAAAAAAAGGCATCAAAGGAATCTCTATGGAAAGGAGGGTGTATGTCTGTCAAACAGTTATAAAGCTTATGATAGAAGTCTTCGAATACTTGAGCTATCTGTTGGGGTAAAAAGTAGGGTGCCATCTGCTTGAACAAAAATTCAGGAGCAGAAGTTGTCGAGTGCGTTTTTAGTTTAACCTCCCTAGCGGTCTGATTATGTCCATATTTCTGTGCTCAAAGCTGTACCTTTTTTTGCATGGAAATATGTATTTTTTTTTTTATTGTGTAGACCTGTAATTTTTAGGAATAACTCACTGAAATCTGTCCGAACAAGAGTCTAGTAAACATCCCGGGTATGATAAAATTTGAAACACTAAATCATAAATTATAATTTTAATAAATAATCATAAAAAATAATATAATAAAAATGTAATTCAATAATATAATCAAACCAAAAACACTGAAATTTGAAATATAGCGCCAAGTTCGCACATCACTGAGCAAAGTCGCAAAATAGTTTTCAGTGTCTGACAAATTTCCCCACGAATCATCACTCAATTCTGCAAGTGGTTCTAATTTACTATCGCTGTTCTCTAGCTGGTCTAAAACCGCTTTTGACATAAAGGGGCGCTTTTTGGACGCCATGGACATTTCTAAGTTTCCAGGCAGAAAGAACAGTAAAAATGCAGGCAGGGCACAGGACAAAGCACTCGGGACAAAATGTATGTGAAATGGTTTGATACAGTAATGTTATACTATGTGATTTTAGTGAATATCACTTTTTGTTATTTTCAAATTTCCCGCCGTTCCGTCCCCGTACGTCCCGACACTCCCAAGGGACGGAACCCAGATGACAGATGCCAGCATCTGCCGGATTACATTGCCCGGACACATTGCAGGAGGGACATCGCAGGAGCACAGGACAAGGTAAGTGAAGAACAGATCTCGGAGCAGCGCCGCATGGTATTCCCGAGTGTAGCTCGGGGTTACCGATTTTGGTACTGAAACTTTATCCCGAGCTACACTCGGGAATACCGTCAGGGAGGTTAATAACCAACATCCTGTAAGGTTTATTAGCATAGTGATAAAACTTCTGTTTAATCCATAGAAGTTTCTTAGCTATAGAACTAGCCTCAAGTGTCTTAAGTTGATCTTTAAGTTGTACCGCTAGTTGAAGTTTAGGCAAAGAGGCTAAAGCAATAAGTGTGTGTGTGTGTGTTTGTTTTTATTTGTTCCGCATGATATAATTGATTCATAAGGTCCGTTTTCTAGTGGAGCATGGACTTCTTAAGATGTGAGCTTTCCATTATAAAGTGACCCCCCCCTAAGAAATGCTTTGTGGGCTTCCCACAGTGTTGAGGATGCTGTCACGGATCCTGTATCAAGTTAAAACAAACAGATTGAAAAAAGGTTTGCAAACATAATATGGAGGAAGCCTGAGCAGCCAGTGACTTCACTTCTCTCTTCTAAAATAAACAGCAAATAACAGGACATTATATGAAAATCTCGATAGGGTGTCGGATTTATCTGTAATGGGATATCTGAATTGTAGGGCAAGACATATCATTAGTCTTAAGTGGCATCAGCTGCGTTTTGCATGATGTCATCAGGTGATAGCGGATAACCGTGATGCAGGAGACCGTTGAGGAATCAGGAGGCATGCTTGTTTTTAGATCTTGCCGGTGTCCACAACTTGTTAGCAGTTTTGGCTGCTCTTGGTTTGGGTAGGAGAAGTGCTAAGGCTTCATCTGGAGAGGAGAGGCCTAAGTTACATAGAAATGCTTCTGCTTCTTGAAGATCTCTGATTGTGTATTGAGTGCCATGCTTGGTTACTGTTAATCTGAACAGAAAGCCCCATCTGTATATAATAACAAATGCTTCTGTAGGTGTTGAGTAAGTGGACAAAGCGTAAGTCTCTTAGACAATGTGATAGGGGACAGATCACTGTAGATTTGATTTTTTTTTTTTTTTTTTTTTTTTTTTCCCCCTCTAAAATCAACCGGGGCAGTGTTATGTGTGGAATTCTGCAACTGGCGTAGTGTTGCGTGTGGAATTCAGCAAAGACTCCTTGCTATCATAGTAATGAAACTGGAAAATTATGTCTCTTGCTCTCGTGCCTGGTTGTGGTTTCGGAGCAAGAGAGCAGTGGGCTCTTTCCATTTGCCATTCTATGTCCAAACCCGCCGGGGGCCAATGCAGTGAACAGTGTCCTCATACAGTTGTGTCCAAAAAATTATTCAACCCCCACTGAAATTGAGTGTTTTTGGCCAGTTTGACATTGCTTTGATCATTCAGTCATCTTGCTTACATTTACATTAAAGAGGCACTTGTAGGTCAGACAAATATAACATAACAGTTATAATGAAATAACCACAAATGTCTTTTCTGTGCTCAGCATTATCAGTTTTATTCAACCCCCAAGTGACATTCAATCTTAGTACTTAGTACAGCATCCTTTTACAGTTATAACAGCTTTTAAACGTGAAGCATAGCTTGACACAAGTGTCTTGCAGCGATCTACGGGTATCTTCGCCCATTCTTCATGGGCAAAGGCCTCCAGTTCAGTCACATTCTTAGGCTTGCGCACTGCAACTGCTTTCTTTAAGTCCCACCAGAGGTTCTCAATCGGATTTAAGTCTGGTGACTGCGATGGCCACTCCAAAATGTTCCAGCCTTTCCTCTGCAACCATGCTCTAGTGGACTTGGAGGTATGCTTGGGATCATTGTCCTGTGAAAGGTCCAACGTCTCCCAAGCCTCAGGTGTGTGAACGGACTGCACCCGAATCACGTTTCCATCCAATATCTCCTGGTACTGAAGAGAATTCAATGGTACCTTTGCACACGCTGAAGCTTCCCTGTACCTGCAGAAGCAAAACAGCCCCAAAGCATGATTGACCCTCCACCATGCTTCACAGTAGGCAAGGTGTTCTTTTCATCATAGGCCTGTTCTTCCTCCTCCAAACATAGCGTTGATCCATGGGCCCAAACAGTTCTAATTTTGTTTCATCAGTCCACAGAACACTATCCCCACAACTTTTGTGGTTTGTCCACATGGCTTTTGGCATACTGCAGTCGACTCTTCTTATTCTTTGGAGACAGCAAGGGGGTACGCCTGGGAGTTCTGGCACGGAGCCTTCATTACGCAGTGTGCGTCTTATTGTCTGGGCTGAAACTTCTGTACCCACATCTGACAAATCTTTTCTCAGTTCCTCAGCAGTCACACGGGGACTTTCTCTCCACTCTACGCTTCAGGTAGCGCACAGCAGTCGAAGTCAGCATCTTCTTTCTGCCACGACCAGGTAGCGTTTCAACAGTGCCCTTTGCCTTGAATTTGCGAATGATGCTTCCTAAGGTGTCTCTTGGTATGTTTAACATCTTTGCAATCTTCTTATAGCCATTGCCCTTCCTGTGAAGAGAAAATCACCTCTTCTCTTGTCTTCCTGGACCATTCTCTTGCCTTCACCATGTTTGTAACCACACCAGTAAATGTCTAGAAGGAGCTGAGTATCACAGTCATTTTAAAGCTGCCTAATTGGTGCTTATTATGCTTGATTGCTGCTCGGTGACATCCACAGGTGTTTTCAATACCTGATGGAAAGCACCTGTATGAACCTCTGTTCTTCAGAGTGGTAGTCTTTAAGGGGTTGAATAATTGTGGCAATGAAGAAACCACATAAGAACCATTTACTACTGTATTACATAAACAATTGATGTCATTTTAGTTGCATTTGGGTAGTTACAACGTCCTTGTAGGATTTGATTCTGAATACAATTCCAAATGTACACTATAGTCCCTAAACCCCTTTACAGCATTGGGGGTTGAATAATTTTGGACACAACTGTAGATAAATTTGCAGGTCAGCTTCTCCTACAGATTCTGGATCGCTGTGTATTCGTAGATTTTGTCTCCGCTCCCTATTCTCCAAATCTTCTTGAAGGGATTGTAACTGGGACATCTGTTATTTCAAAATGGGATTGTCTTCCTCCAGTACATGTACATACTGCACCAGATCATCAAATTTGGTTTCTAAGTGGTCTGTACATTCTTCCACCAATGCTATCTCCCCTCTGAGTTCCTGTGCCATTTTCCCCACTGCCGCAGGTATAGTATGGAACAGACTTTGCGGAAGGCTATGTAACTTATCATCCAGCATGTCTGCTGTGAGATATGGGATGGAGGAAGTGGGAGACAATGCAGAGTGGTGTGTTACCTCCGCCTCACAACCTGATGGATCATCCAGTTCTGCCATCGAGATAACGTGATCACTCAAGGCTGGGGATGTGGCCCACGACACATACTTATCCATATTTGTAGGCTGCAACTGCTTGGCGGGTGATGGAGGGTACTTCTGACACCTGCTTTTACCCATGGGGATCTGCAAACGAATCTGAGAACAGTACTGATGCTCCTCTGCAACAATTACCTAACGTGAGCTCCGGAGGAGCTAGAAGAGAGAGCGGTGAAGCGGGGCGGGATTAGAGTGTGACCACTATCATCAGCCTCCGCATGTGCCCCATGTGTGTTTTAAAATCAGATCTGTGGTTTTTATGGTAATGGTGTGCAATGTATTTGTGTATATTTTTCCATAATAACATTTTACATAGTATTTCATTGAGTGTGGATTCACACACATGCAGTGTGAATTGAAGCTCCATTTTCAAAGCTCATTGACAAAGTAGTTGTACAGGATCAGGTCAGGTTTACAACAGGATCAGGATTAGGTCAGGATTTTATCCTGTTCACAGCTGAATGACATTTATGATTCAGAAGCATTCCCATAGAAGTCAAAGGGCCTGAAGTTGCATCTGAGCCAAACTGCATTCCTCAGAAAAATGACATGACTTTTTCAATTTTCACTGAATTTGCACTCTGGCTGCACCATACATTTGTGAACAGTGAACATTTCCATTGTGTCTATTGGGTATAATGAGGAGGAGGTGTGAGATGACCTGGATGTTTACACACTTAATGGTGGGTTCCTAGTCTGAGATTATGGTACCAGTGTATGACATAATGTGTTCCTACTTATTTGCACAGTTATTTATTGCAGTGACCTGTGGTGTGACCTGTGGTGTGCCCTTGTAATCCGTGCCTGGGGGGTTTCCATTACGTCAAGGTTTAGCCAGTTTTCCAACCATATGAGGCGGCAGCATTTTGAAGTACCATGTCTTTTAAATGGGTTAAAAACTCAACTTTTTTTTTTTCTGCACTTCTCATGTATTGTGAGTAAATCCTACAGATTGATTAGATAATGTCACCCATATGCAGAGTTCTTTTTCCCAGAAGGAGTGGAATCACTCCAACGCATTGGATCATATAGAAATTATCTCTGTAATCATATGTATGGATGGTGATGTTATAACATTTTGTAATGGCTAGTCAAACATAGTCATACTGGGTATCCTTATCATGCAATTAATACTTTGGCGATGCTGTACTATGACTTTGGATGATGTATGGTATGTCTACATGTTAAAATCATTTTTGGACACAAAGCATGCACTATTTTATAAAACTTTTTTCGGTATAAATTTATGCCTTCAAAGTCCCAAGTCCAATAGGGGGTCTTTGCCCTTTTATTTACCTTGTAATTCTGGGGACTACTGATCAGGAAACCCCTTTTTCTCCCCCCCCCCCCCCCCCCCCTTCTTCCTTTTTTTTTTTTTTTTTTTTTCTTTTGTACGTTTTTGTAAACAGGTACAATAGAAAACAATGTTCTTTCACATGTCCTGCAAATTGGATGTGGTTCAAAACACATCCAATTCGCATATGTGAACCACCTCAAAAATTTCAGGAGTGCAGTGTGCCCAGTTGTTTTAAAATTTTTGTTTATTTCAGGTATTTATATAGCACTGTCAATTTACGCAGTTTTTTGTTTTATTAGTTAATTACTGACCTTCCTCCTTTCAATGGCTGCAGCTCATTGTCACTAGGGATGGTGCATAGCTACATACGTACATTTGGGAGAAAATATACAATGAACATTGGTGGACTTTAGCACCAATAATGGCATATCACAACTCCTTTATGGCTATGTACTTAAAAC